TTAGTTTTTGCAACCCATAGTAATTCACATACTCCTTTAGACCATTGCTCTATATTCTGTCTCAGTACTAGAGCGGCCAACTACACTTTGTTTCTTACTTTTTCATGTGACTAACTTGCATCCTACAAGTATACAATAATCTGTAGTTGATCTTCTATCATCTATGCACCCAGCCCAATCAGCATCTGTAAATACTTCTATTTTAAGGTGACAATTCTTATAAAAAAGCAGACTTTTTCTTAGTACAAACTTCACGTATGGTAAAATGCGGAAGACAACATATAAATTAGTCTTACGAGAATCATGCATGTACTGTCTCACAAGACTAACTGCATATGTTATATCAGGTCTAGTATGTGAGAGATAGTGTCTGGTATCTTCCCAAGTCAATTGATGTACCACTACCTGCTTGTAATTTGTGGTTGTTCTTAATAGGTGATTATGCCGACTTACAACCCATCATATCAGTCTCTTTTAGTAAGTTTAGGATATACTTCCTTTCATAAATGAAGATCTCTTTATTGGATCAGACAACTTGAATTCCCGAGAAATATTGCAATTTTTTTAAATTTTTTATTTCAAACTTATGAGCAAAAAGTTCTTTCAACCGAGTTATCTCTTTTGTGTCATCTCCAGTCACCACAATATCATCCACATAAACAATGAGAATAGTGACCTTACCCTCACGATATTTAATAAATAAGGTATGATCTGTATTGTTTTGTTGATATTCAAAAGAGATCATAACTCTTCTAAACTGTTCAAACCATACTCTTGGATATTGCTTTAATCCGTATAAGGCCTTTTTTAATTGGCAAACTTTTCCTTGCGTCCTTTCATCTTCAAATCTATGTAGAATTTTTATGTACACCTCTTCCTCTAAGTCTCCATGGAAGAATGTACTTTTTATATCAAACTGCTGTAAATCCCAATCAAGTTTAATTGCGCAAGATAGAAGTATCCTAATTGTATTCATCTTTGCAACAGGTACAAATGTCTCCTGATAGTCAATCTCATAGGTGTGAGTACATCCTTTAGCCACCAATCTAAATTTGTACCTTTCAATCGATCCGTCTCTTTGTATTTTACGATGAACACCTACTTGCAACCAACTATCTTCTTTTCTTGTGGAGGTAAAACAAGTTCTCATGTTTCATTCTTTGTCAATGCTCTCACTTCTTTAATCATGGCTTTCTTCTACTTGAAATCTCTTAAAACTTCTCTGTAATCTTGTGGAATAGATACAGAGAAAACATACAAGACAAAAACTCTATAGGAGGGAGATAGAGAGTTATAAGAAACAAAGCTAGATATAGAGTGCTTAGTGCAAGTTCTCGTTCTCTTTCTAACAGCAATAGATTTGTCTGATAAATCACAAGAAAAAGAAAACTCACCAGCATCTTCTGTAACCAGAGAAAATTCTTGACTTAAAACAGACTGCATGATGACTTTTTCAGACTTCTCTCTCTTTAAATACCTTTTCAACTCTGTTTTATCTAGACATCCAACATTATCAACTTGATTAAGACTTTCTGCAATAGAATTCTCTCATTGGATATGATTCTCAATTGTTACCTAATTAGGTATCACTTCTTCCTTCTCACTCTCCCCCTGAAGAGGTATTGGGTTTAAGTTAAAGTAAAACTCATTCTCCCTAAAGGTAACATCCATAGTTACAAATTATTTTCTAAATGGTGGATGATAATACTTGTACCCTTTTTGAATAGAAGAATATCCAACAAATACACACTTAAGAGCTCTAGATTCTAATTTACCCACATTTCTAGCATAAACAAAGCACACACATCCCAAACATTTTTGGAGGAACAATGTAAGAATTTTTTCCTTGCAAAACCTCCATAAGACTTTTAAAATTCAAAACCCGCAAAAACATTCTATTAATAAGATAAACAGCTAAGAGAACTGCATCTCCCCAGTAACTATTTGGTAAATTCATGATGAACATTAGTAATCGAGCTATCTTTAATATGTGCCTATTTTTTCTTTCAAAAATCTCATTTTGTTCACTGGTGTAGGCA